CTATATGCGTCGGCTAAGCGCAAAAAAATTGGGCCACGGAGCTTCCAACTCGCCGCAATTAGGGGACCGGACGTCCGGAGATGCCAGACCCTGGTGACGTCATCACTAGCAACAGGTGAGATTGTTGGTCGGGCCCGCCACAGCTACGGGTGGCGCCGGCGGCCCGACTTTATGCGCTTGGCCGACGCACCTGGGCGAGAGGTGTATCCTAAGCCTATAGGCTTATCGCTCTTTATTTCCTCTCTTTCGTTATATCAATTTTAATTTCAAAAGGGACTGGCGTAATACATTTCCAATGGAGCGAGTCCCTTTTGGGGGTTTTTGTTCCCTTACGGGCGCAAATCACCTCATGGCCCGGCGGTTGCCCGCCAGAGAGATACCTCCCGCCTATATGCGTCGGCTAAGCGCAAAAAAATTGGGCCACGGAGCTTCCAACTCGCCGCAATTAGGGGACCGGACGTCCGGAGATGCCAGACCCTGGTGACGTCATCACTAGCAACAGGTGAGATTGTTGGTCGGGCCCGCCACAGCTACGGGTGGCGCCGGCGGCCCGACTTTATGCGCTTGGCCGACGCACCTGGGCGAGAGGTGTATCCTAAGCCTATAGGCTTATCGCTCTTTATTTCCTCTCTTTCGTTATATCAATTTTAATTTCAAAAGGGACTGGCGTAATACATTTCCAATGGAGCGAGTCCCTTTTGGGGGTTTTTGTTCCCTTACGGGCGCAAATCACCTCATGGCCCGGCGGTTGCCCGCCAGAGAGATACCTCCCGCCTATATGGACCTCATGGCCCGCTCACAAACCTCTCGCCTCTGGCTGTCTACCCCACGCTAACAGTGTCTGACCGCAGTACTCAGTAATAGAAAAGTGTATACGTCCGACCTTGGTTCGTATGCCGGAGCCGTGAAATCTAATCCTGTCAGTGATAAGCAATTTTCATCTCAGATGTTACACTGGATTGATGGAAGGAAAATTATGATCATCTCAGACATTGTTGTTGGTAGTCCTTTTTTTTTTTAGACCGGACTCTTTTAGACACTACACGTGCGGAGGAGCACAAGTTGAAAGCTCGGTCCACAACCCACCATTGTATCATATTACATGCACACGGCAGCTACCGTGTCATGTATTACTGGGATGAACAATTTGTGATCAAACTTTGTTAACGCGCAGACCCTGTACTACCTGTGTCCTCTCGGGGTCCCAAACCGTCCAAATTCGACACAAATGTCCAGGGGAAATGAATGGTTTTGTCGTCACTAACTTGATTTATGCCTGTCTTTTCCACATCAAAGTCGTGCCAGCTCCATTGATTATGTCCAACAGCAAACTGGTGTACCGGTAATTATAACGGATCGCAGAAATCAATATATCCGGTGTTTTCTCCATGGGATATTCACGGTTACAGTATCTAGTAAATCCAGCATCAATATACAGGTGAATAAAAAGTCCGGCAAAAAAACAAACAAGATTCCTACATTTTCAAGTGTTGAGATCCCCTTTTAAACAGGAATGGAGGCGACAAAACATGACATCACAACCTATAGGTCCACTTATGTTATATTAGAAAAAATGCCGAAACTCATGATGTTTAAATTTAGGAACTACGGTCATTCAATACTCTTTCCTTTCAGTTGTACTAGTAGTATGTTCAACGTTCTACATCGTTGACAAACCTTGTGCCACGGATACATTGTGCCACGTATAATTGTCGTGAAATAAATTTCTTCTTTATTACTGTATTCAACAGGAATCTAACAGTATCCCCTGACCTTGTAGATGTTGATATACAAGGTACAATACGTTTTACTTCAGAGAAAAAATTAATAACCTAATGTAAAATGGAAAATCACAGTAACATGCGACATGATGATACGTAGATATGAAGTGTTCATATATAATGCATTGTGCTATTTTACAACATAAAAACCACCAAGGAGCTTCAAACAAGCTTGCACAAACAAATCGTAAATGTGTTAATTTTTTCGTGGTTCACAACTCAGGACGTCATGTAAAAGAATCTGACGACCAACTTACTTCCAGGTCTGTGACTAGATGACGTTGTTGTCTACCATGCTTTCTTTTTTTTCCCTCTCAGATACAACAGAACAACTTGATGACATGGATGACTAGATGACATCATCTGGGAACCCTTACAGTATGGTCAACAATTTTACTTTCGGTGAACGGACGAAAGTTCATGCGCACGTTTTATCCATGTAATCAAATCGACATGGCCTTATGTCTAACGTTATAACGGAAGCAGCACGTGGCCACCACATGACACACCACGTGCCGTTCTCGATCTCGTAACCTTGTAGACTGAGAAGTCGAGTGTTTTTAAGATCGTATCTGTTGGTCTTCGAACGTCGAACGTATCTGTCGGTCTTAACTTTGAATGTTTCATTCTGTGACCAAACATCCGTACAACAGTTACGTCAGGACCTTCGGAGTGTTGGCGGAGTGTTCAGGCGAAGCGGAGGAAGATGTAGAAGAGAAGTTGGAGGTGGAACTGGAAGAGGAGTTGGAGGAAATGGAGGAAGAACTGAAGAATGAGGAGGGCGACCATGATAAGTGATGGTGAGGAGAACTATAAAATACCATGTACTGTTTAACCCTGTAGAATGATCTAGTGGGTAGAGTCTTCGCCTTGTATTCGGTACGTCGTGAGTTCGATCCTCGAGTCATACAGAAACCTTTACAAATACTGCTTTCTCTGCTCAGCACTCAGCATTTACGAAAGAGTATGGTAGTCAAAAACACACCGCTGCTAAGAAACCTTTGTGGGTTTTCGTGGGCTTCCCAAATGTTGAATAAGAGAATTCTAGAGGTTCCTCTTCCAGTACTGTTATCTGTCTTTGCAGATAAAAGTTCACAGTCCAGACGTCAGTTTTCTATTCAATGAGCTTCTTGAGGGTTGAACTTGGTCAACCGACTATATACATGTTGTACCGGCAAAAATGACTAAGCAAATCAAAATGATATAAAAAATTAACTCAACAAAGAATACAATGTATACAATACTATCGGAAGCTTTCATGTATTGAAAAGACACATACTTTAAAATGAAATGTAAAATGAAACCAATAAGTTACTTGGCATGTCCATAGAGCTCGAGCGAATTGACATTAACAGCTCGCATTTTTCCATTGAAATAATTGCAACTTCTTTATTCCTTAGCGTCCCAGCGGCCATCCCTGCGTGAAATTCGTCAAGAAGAAGACGCGTACAAGCAGGATCTATGAGCTATAATCTCCTAGCAATTTGCTTGCCTAGTGATGTTCCATTAGCATTAAATAACGTTCAATATTAATGGATGTTTATTTGCAAAATCATGCCCG